CATCAACCCTGAGCAAAAGAGAGATGGATTAACATTTCTCCTTTGGCTGCCAACATTAGGAACTTTCAAGAGTAATTTGATTTGAATTAATTAATTGAATTAATTGATTGATTGATTTCAAAACTGCTACCCCTTTTTTGGAGACTGACTGCCATGCTTCTTTCTGCCCTTTGCTGGCAATGGCATTTTCAGTTGCATCCACACTGCAGAAATAATCTGGTTTGGCCCCACTTTAACTGCCATGGCTCAATGCTATGGAATTTTGGGAACTGTCGTTTGCCCTAGTGCTACAACAAACTACAGTTCCCAGAATTCCATAGCAGTTATTTCTGCAGTGTGGATGCAGCCTAAGAACAGATTGGTTTTTTATTAGATTAGTTCACCAAAATCCCAATCACTAAAAACACTGAAGAAGTATTTTAAGTAATAAATTTTGGCTCCCAGGGTGGGGAAAAAAGGGAACTTTCAAGAGTAAAACCTTAAAGAGTAACTTTTCTCTCAGTCCCAACCTGAGTTGCAAAAAACATGAAGTGCAGACTTTTGTACAAAAGGGAAGAAGTGGAGGACCAACCATGAAATAAATATTTATATTTATGGTAAGCAGGCATTTAATATATAAACTTGTGTGCGTGTTTTGATTGTGCCTTTTAGCTTTTGTAGCTTTTGATGTGGTTTTAGACTGTTTTTAGCTGATTGTTTTGAATTTTTATAGTAAGTTTGTTTTTTGTTTCATGAATGTCTACTCCTAAACTTGGGTCCCTTTCTGCAAGAAAGGTGGCAAGCAGATGAAATAAATGAAATTTGTCAATCAATTAATCAACATAAATAAATAAATCGATCAATAGAGCAATAGATAAATAAATAAATATTTTAAAAGGCCAAGGTTTCCCCTTGACATGAATGTCTAGTGGTAACCTTGGGTCCCTTTCTGGAAGAAAGGTGGCATACAAATGAAATAAGTGAAATAAATAAATATAAATAAATATAAATAAATAAATATTTAAAAGGTAAATGTCTACCCTTGACATAGTCCTAACCTTGGATCCCTTTCTGGGAGAGAGGCAGTGTACAAATGAAATAAAATGAGATTGATCAATATAAATAAATAAATAAATAAATACTTATTAAGAAGGTCAATGTTTCCCCTTGGCATGAATGTCTAGTGGTAATTTTGGGTCCCTTTCTGGGAAAAAGGCGGCATACAAATGAAATCAGTGAAATCAATCCATTTCAAATAAATAAATAAATAAATATTAAAGAGGTCAAGGTTTCCCTTTGACATGAATGCGTCTAGTGGTAACCTTTCTGGGAGAAAGGCGGCATCCCATACAAAGGGAACCAATGAAATAAATATTCGAAAATTAATAACTCAATCTAAAGTAGGGTCTAACTCAGTTCTCCAAAGCAAGCTCCAGCAGAGGAAGCCATGCAGCCAATAAAGAGAGACAAATGCAAACTACACAAAGACAAACAACAACACAAAGACACCTCTGAAAACCTGGGAAAGTCATCATGGCTCATGCCTTGGCCACTTCTGGAAAGGATGCCCTTTGCTCCTCCAGCATCTCAAAAAAAGGCAGGCAAAGCCAAGGCCAGACTTACTTGTCCAAGATGAAGTAGAGGTCAAAGCCTCCATAGCAGGCAGGCCCTCCTCCTCCTCCTCCTCCTCCTCGAGGGCCATCGCAAGTGACCACCACCATCACGGTGGCCACAAAGAAGCATTTCAAGGCCAGCTGGACAACTGTCCCTTTTCCAAGCATGGCCATGGCTGGACCCAGAGAGAGCTAGACAGACATCTAGCGATGCCCTTCTCCAGTGGTTGCCCCTTTATTTTAATACCATTTGGGGGGGGGG